TTAAGTTGCTTGATGCCATCTGTCGGGCCGGCCGCACCAAAGTTCATACCAGCTATTCGCTTACCAAGCTACAAATTGCGTACCTTGACGCCGACGAACTTGAAGCGGCGGAGGCCGAGGGCAGAGAAATCGAGTCTGCCGTCCCTGAGGATGAGGTGGAGCATCTCGAGTTCCTTGCAGCTGCGCAGGAGATCATGGATGAGCAGACGGCGCCATTTACGGAGGAGGAGGAGGAAGGACTGTTTGCGGATTAAAAGACCAATCAGTAGCACCATTTGCGTATCTTGGGCGTATACGGTATTTATCTACATCCGCCGTCCATGCCAACTTGCCAACCGGCTTGAATCCAACATCCAAACAGAATCACTCATTGTCATTGAATACCTTATCGCATTGGCTTGTGGAAACCAGAGGATTACTTGTGGAGAATCATCCCAACCAAAACGCTAACCGTGGGGAGATTATGTGACCATCAATTGATCGTTACAGCGTCACCTCTTTGCACCTCCATGACCGTCTTCACCTCCATCGCTGCTCTCGCGTCTTCTCGAGCTGATATTCCGATAAAGTCTTCGCTCCGTGTCCATCAACGCCTCTTCTCTTTGTATCCCGTGTTTCCTGTCTTCCACCGCCCCACAGTCCCTCCGACTCCCCACAGTCCCTCCGACTAGCTCCGACTCCCCACTGGCACCTGCCGTCAACTGCGATTTTAATTACATAAACATTGGGTGACCCAGTTTTAATGCATGTGTTCTCGCTTGATACTCACCCTGCCTTCAAGGTTCATCGGGACCTGTCTCGGTAACCCAGACATTCTGAGAGCTTTCCGCACCGCCGGACCGGAATTGATCCGTGCCACGCGAGTTCGGTTAAAAATGATGTGCGGAAGAGCTCTCAGAACGTCTGGGGCACTTACCCATGGTTACCCCCCATGGTGTCACACCCCGTTCTCCCCTCTTTCCCCTCGCCCAGTGCCCCAGAAATTTGTGCCCATGGCTTAATGAACATCTTCTAGTATGGCTCCCAATTTTTCCCGATTTTTACCGCCCCATTTTGCATTGCTGTGAGGGGGACAAAACCGGCAAGTTTTGGCGCGGCTTATTGGAGCATCCAATGGAACATGCTCAAAAGAGGTCAATAAAAAGCGGGAAAAAATCACGGAGGCTTCAGATGCTGTTTGTAAGCTCCCATGCGACGACTTGTATTTTTTGGTGAATGTTTGACCTCCCCACCCGGCGAGACGAGCAAAGCGTGACGTGACACCATGGGCGGTGGCGCTATACGAAATGCCCCAGACGTTCCGGTGACTCCTGCGCTCATCATTTTTAACCGAAACTCGCGTGGCGCGGATCACCGGAACGTCTGGGTAACCGAGACAGCATCGGGACTTCATAACGCGACATCGCATGCTACTGAAACCACTTGTCAAATCAAACCGCGAGACACAGGCAGATAATACTGATTCAGGAATAAAAGACGGTCCATTCATTCCGCGGACAAGATATATAACCAGAACGTGAGGATGGTGTGCATGCAGACCATACGGAACTCTTGCTGAAGCCACGAGATGAGGGTGGAACGGGTGCAGCTCAGCATCCCGCAGCCCGGTAATATCACGAGCAACAGGTAAGCAACTACAACGAAGGGAAGTCAGACGGTTGTATAGCGCGCGGTGAGGAACAACTTACGGATGGTTGTGAGCAATCCGAGAAACAGAAACCACCCTATCAGTTCCAGAGCGAGGACAAACAAAAGACAGAGGAACACTGTTGTTGGAAGATCGGTACGTTTTCGGTCGTCATAAAGCGACACTACTCACCCAGGGATGAGATATGGGTGATTATAAAACCCAAGGGAGGCGCCTAGAGTAGCTCCACGAGCCATACATGTCGCTCCTGCCGATCCTGTTGCTCCCGCTCACGCCGTTCTTCCCGCTCCCGATCCTGCTGCTCGCGCCACTCGCGATCCTGCTGCTCCATGTCCCACTGCTCCTGTTCCCACTGCTCTCGTTCCCGCTCACGCTCCCTCTCCCTCTCCCTCTCCCGCGCCTGTCGCTCCCGCCGCTGCTCCCAGTCCTGGCGTTCCTGCTCCCGCTCCTCCCGCTCCCGCTCCCGCAACTGCTCCCTCTCCCGGTTCACCTTCTGCAGCCGATCCCGCCACTCCTGCGCCCAATCCCGATCCGAGCGTGATATCCTCGGCGATCCATAGAGGATGAAGGTGCCTTCCTGGTCGAAGGGTTGACGGGACATTCGCGACTCGAAGTCCGTTTCGCTGGAGTGCGCTGAAAGGTAGACCAATTTCACCTCCGTACTTAAACATGCTCGGCACCATTGTCAAACTTGACATAGGGCACTGCAAACGCATCGCCTAGCCCCCACACGTGAGGTTGTAATATCATGTCGCTGAGCGCCTATTACAGCTTTCAGACAGCTGTGTATCGCGGGGTGGATATACAGTCACGGTTCATGGCTCCTGTCCATAGCTGCTCTCAGAGTACCCAGAAGGGGAGAGCGTATCTATACTCGAGTGGCGGCACATACAGAAATTCCACGGGGCGATCAATCCAAGACGCTGGTTACCTGTCACTTGCGCCTTGAATAGGCGGGACCACTTGCAAGGCGGTACGATGTGATTCTCAAAGACACTCGCGTGTCTCAATCGGAGTGGCTGTTGAACAACTCCTCGAACTGTCAAGTCTTACAGCAATATGTCACGCAATGGTAGACGGCCCCGGGCCAATGCCGTGCCAGTGTCCCTGGGTCGATGAGTCTGCATCGGAGTATTGTCAAGCGCTGTTGAACAACTCCTCGAACTGTCAAGTCTTACAGCAATATGTCACGCAATAGTACACGGCCAATGCCGTGTCAACAGCTCCTCAAATCATCACATCTCAAAGCAGCATGGGAGAGGCTGATGCTGTGTTTTGCACCAGTTCTTTCCAGCACAGCTATTATACAGCTTTTGCAGATGACCTCTTCTTCTTCGGCCTATATATACCGCCGGGCAGTGAAGAGGTGTGAGCACTGAGTGGTGTTTGTGTATAAGCTTCACCGCTACGCCACCGGCTGCAGGTGCACTCTCATTCCAGATAGGCTCTGCCAGACATGAATCCCGACGTGCAAGGATATGTGGTACGCGTAACGAGTTAGAACTATCCTTCAATCTCTTCCTTCACTCAGCTTTTGCAGATTTCGCTACTCACATTGGTGCGGGTACGTCCTCGCCTCTCCGCAGAACCTGTGTTATTATTTAATGCCCGACAGCGGTGCTGATTGCATGGTCGAACAAAAATCCCCGCCGCTACTACGCGCTACTTTTCCTTCAAATAACCTTCATATTAATTGGGGTCCTGACATGTATACGGCGCAACCAGCTCAGTATCGGCGACGCTGAATTCGCCGTCATTCTCACCCGCTCTCCCATCTGCGCATACTGCGTCTGCTTGGTATTCCCGAGACTCATAGCCCAGCCTCCATTTCATCGGAAGGCAAGGAGCGCGCTGAAAAATGTGCGGCTGATATTTTCAGAAAATCGGGCAATGGCTTGGAATGGTCTTGGCGAGGACTTGAGGTGCCAGCCAGTCTTCGATGGGCTGTGCGCAATTGTCGTCCTTCTTTTGGCCTTGTCGCTCAATGTCTCTGTTCAACTAAATGGCATCATCAAAATCTATTCCGTGGTTCAGTGTTCGACCAAGGACTGCTTGCAACTGCGCTCTGGAACCTCGTCTGCGGCGGACAGTACCGCGGTCATTCGATGGCTGGCTGTCGGCGGTATCTCTGTCGTGATTTACGAGCTCGTTCTCGTGCGCCATCAACGATTGAGGTGGGAGTTGATGGGCAGGCTCGCTGGTGAGGTAGGCTCGGCCACTCGGTGGATGATAACTGATACATATACAGCTCGACATCCGCGCATGAAAAATAGTTTGTATTGGAAACGTGGAGTGTATGTTGTTCTAGCGATTTCCTTCTTAAAAATCGAATTATTGATTTTTGTTGCTCTAGATGTGGCTTCTGTGCAACATGGTTAGCAGTCTTGTATTCGTACTCGGCCGGATAACTCGATGACAGGTCTCGCATGGGCAGGTATATAATTGCGAAACTGCACCCGTGGATTCCATTCATCTACATCGTCGTGTTGTTTGAGAACTGGTCGAGGAAATTGAATATCTGGAACGTCGAGCAGGATTTTGTATTCTCATACGGCCAGGTGCTGTATCTTCCATTCGATCTCTTCGCAGTATTAATTGCTCTGAACAATAGTTGCTTGCTCTCGGACCTGCCATTCCTGTGGTATGGGAATGTACGACACTTGCCATACGCCGTCGCTCCGATCTTGCTATGGTCCCGCGAGCACTGATGCGCGATGTGCTTTCAATTCTGGGCGGAGAGACTCAGCCTTGGGGCACAGAGGATCTGAAAATAGCGGAGATTTGGGATCTTTTTCCGGCGGATGTAGTCCCTATCGAGCCCGGACTACCTGTTCAGATGCCACATGCCTCAATAGCGAGTGGCATCAGTCGTTCCCGAGGGCGAAATCGCAGGGATCTGAGGAGACCAGGGACTGTGTCGGAAGGTCTTGCTCCGCCGGTTTTGGAGGTAGACCTGGGAGAGGTACACCTCGGTGCTTTCTTGGAGTCGACAGGGTCTATCTAATGGCGTAATAAACTCTCAAAGCCATTGATCGGATTGAAAAATAACCTCAGCAATGTTCACAACATCAACATCCCAGCGGATGCGGGAAAAATTCTTCGCAACGACTCGTGAGAGGGGCAGAAAAGGGAGTGAGAGGCTATCTCTCCGCGCACCAGCGGATGGAAGTTGGATGCAATAACTCCGGAAACATGACAATTGCCGGTGGCGATCAAGTGGCGATGCCTACCAATCAGTGCGGATGGGCGGGGTTCGTTTGTTTCTAGCTACCCTTTCGCTTTCGCTTGCGTTCTGAACTTGCGCCGGTAAGCAGAATTCTTACAAGAAACAAAGGTAGTTGCCAAAAGAAAACGACACCTGTGCGATTCGAACACACGCGGGGAAACCCCAATGCCTTATCTACATTTGCTTACCAGCACCGTATAGCAGGGCATCGCCTTAACCACTCGGCCAAAGTGTCCATGCAGGCTATCGTCCAATCATCCCACTGGAGGTACCCGCTCAAACCTTCTCCGACTCGTCACTCCATGCCTCGCTGTCCAAGTGCAGTCTGTTTTATGACTCCCTTCTGAGACACTGAGAACCAGACTCCCCGTGTCCTGGTTGGTTGAAGCCTAGACGGCTGTCGGGGATCCGCGTCCAATTGTTCCCATCGGGAAACAAACAGCTGATATGCCGAAAAGCGAAGCGGCAACTTGAAGCCTTTAGGCTGGGATTTAAACCTGGCAGTATAAGAACACTATAAGCCCTACCCATCCATGCCCATTCCTACATAATCCAGCCCAGACAGCGCTGGTGCGCACCCGCCTTCAATATGTCGTGTTCTGTCCATATTCAGCGGGGACCCTGTTCGACTCGGGGCTGGGCAATAAGCAAGACCGTCGTGCCTCACTTTTTGTTGAACGGAGATCCAGAGCATAATGTCTTATTCGACCTCGTTCACGAATTCGAATACCTCAGCCCAGACAGCGCCGGTGCGCGCCCGCCTTCGATAAGGAAGCTCGTCCCAATCAGTGAGTGGGAGCCCGTTCGACTCGGGGTTAGGAAATTTCAGGTCGTCTTCACGTTTTTTGTTTCGTCGACACTCCTCAGACGATCGTGTCCCCACAGTCCCGCGCGGGTTTAGGGTATCACATATCTGCACTCCCAGAAGCACACCGACAGTCTTCACCTCTACCGCAACGACTCCCGCTCCCCAACATTCACAACCTCCTCCTCTTCCTCCTCCTCCTCCTCCTTTTTCTTCACCTCCTTCTCCTTCTCCTTCTCCCTCTCCCTCTCCGTGTCCCCATCTCCCCCCTCGCTCGACCCCTCCTGCGTCCTCCGCGGCGCGCGCACGCTGACGAAGTGCAGCGGCTGCGAGGGCCCGGCGGTGGTGTACGTGCAGGTGGGCTCGAGGTGCGTTTTTTCGAGGGAGACGAGGAGGACGATTAGGACTGGGTAGATTGCCTGTTTGAGCGGTGAGTAGAGTGGAATGGGAAATTGGAAGGGACGATGCGAGGGGTACAAGGGGAACGGAGGGGGGGAGGGAGGGGGAGGAAGGGAGGAGGGGCGGAGAAAGGTATAAGAGGAGCGAGACACGTACAGAAAGCTGCGGAATAATGTTCGCAGTGATCTTGTATCCGGTGTTGGTCACGTTCGTCGAGCTAAGGACGACGTAGAGTTGTGGGATCTGCAGGTTCTCGTCAATACTTGACGCTCAATGCCGAGGACGGAACAAAAAAGGAGGAAGAGAGGTGGGAGGAAACGGAAAATGCGGAAGGTAGGAAGAGGCGCACCCAGATAAGACAGTAGATCGTCCCCGACTCGGTGAGGATACTCAGGATCCGTTCGATGTTCGTGCGTCTGTTTCTGGGGAGTCCGAGAAGTTCTTTGATCTGTTTGCGGTAGTGCCTGAGATTACGGCGCATCAGAACGGCGTAGGGAGCAAGCAATAGGGCGGATACGCACCACGCCTTAATCCCAATAAGCGCCGTCGACACGATATTCGTAACCATAAGGGGGAGAATAAGCGTCAGCGTCCGCGCTCCAGTGGGGGTGAATTTTTCATGCCCGAAGAAGAAGAGCGCGACGAAGGTCATATCTATCGTTAAGCCAACTGTGTAGAGGGATGTGAATAAAAAAGCGCCAGCACAACGTGGCTGGTTGCGCACACAATGAGCCGAACATGCAGAGACTGAGGAGAACCTTGATTTTCATGCTTTCGTGCCAGAGCACCCAGGCGCGCCAGACTACAATCGCGTCGCTCATGAAGTACTAAGTGGGTAAGTTACCGGACATCAACCTGACTTTCGGAAGGCAGACTGACATTGACGCGCCCGAATACATTCTCGGATAACCGGATGTTGAGGAACAGTCTCGCGTCGTTCGGCGGGTCGAGGCCGTACACGCGGAGCTGCTTCATGTTGTAGGCCAGCTGCTCGATGACCTGGATGTTGGAGCATGCGAACATGAAGAGCGTGGCGGCGATGAGGGTGCGGCGCGCTGCTAGCGCCGCTTTGTGTGTCCTGTTCATAAATGGCCTGTCAATACAACAACTCCGCCATGTATATTGCGGCGCACCAGAGGTTGTATAGCGCGATACCAACGAGAATCGTGTATAGCCCTGAATAGATTTTTAGCCGTAGGAATTACACGCAGGCGTCGCTTGGCGGCAAGATGAACGCAATCAAGGTTCGGTCCCTTGTAGCCTTCTGAGGGCGCAAATCGGGCCCAAAAAAATGGGACTCCGGAGGCCCTTTAACTTCTCGCCGACAGAGTTTGGCAGCAGCTTCCCCAGTTTTGATACAGCAGCAGCCTCGAATTTGGAATCAATAGGGGGTCCCGTACCATGGAGGAAGAACTGAAGAGCAGTTGTGAGGAGTTCCCCTTGCAGCTCCTTGATGACGGACGCCGGGAGAGCACCCAACTGCGCTGGCGCAGACGACATGACGGGTGGAGACAAAGGACGCAGGAACGCGCAGTCACCGGTGGATCTCCCATCAAAAGAGTCACGCAGAATTGATGCATCGTGACCGCCCAATGCGGCTGCCGGATCACGGCGTTTGATGGGTCTTGCTCTCTACTCTCATGTCGCGGGGTGTATCCAGGCGTTTATGCCTTCCAATCGGGCTTCCGAATATCTCTCCTGTGCTGTACTACAAGCCTACTGAGGCGATGTTCGCCCTCGTTCTCACGCTGCCCGGTGCCAAGTTTTCGACGTCTGTTTGAACAATTGCTTCTCGGCGCCCGCTGTCTTTGCCCGGTCTTTGTCTGTTCTCGCTTGCCCTGAAATTGCTTGATCGTGCGACGGTAAACCCATTTCGAGTTGTTCATCATCGTCGCACAAGTCCTTGATTCGCCCTTGATCTCGTCTCTGTTTTCATCTGTTTTCATTGTTTTCATCTGCCACGGCTTATCCACACCGTCTGTTATTCACACCGACTGCCAACGGCGGGGCCGATTTCCCCTGATTTCACCTCACCCGCCTGACCAGTTACTTACTATCTGGGACGGCCAACATGTCGATGATCCGCCGTCGAGCTGACTGGGCTCCAGCGTACCTCAGGTAGGAAACTCCAGCTCAATCCTCTGTCTCCGATCCGAGCACATTCACAGGCATCTGTCTCCAGATAGCATCGGAATGCACCCGCTTCGACTGTGTTGGTTTGCGAAACAACCTCGGGGTCCCGTTCGACTCGGGGTCGGGACATGAGTGCTTTGGACTGGCTTTTTTTCCTGTTTGGTTTGCTGCTTCATATGGATATGGACGCGACCGCTCTGACCTCGGTGATAGTCCACAGTTTGTCTTGAACATACTTCCTGCGCGTTATTCCTGGCTTGGGGCGGCATAGCTTCGCCAGCACTATATGCTAAACATGCAATTCTCCCAAACATAAAGCGAGGTGCTTACATAATCTTCCTGTCCTATTCAAGCTCACACCCGAAGCTCTCAGCCCTGTTAGCGCCGGTGCGTACTCGCTCCCAGTGCGACCTCTATTTCCACCCCATTTGGCGAGAGCCCGTTCGACTAGGGATCAGGGCATCGAACCGAGGTGAGTACATTTTTTATTTGCCTCCCCTCCAGGAGGCCACACTCCTCTTTGGTGCGGCCCTTCTGTGCAAAGCTCACTCGGTGGCTGATTCACAGTGCTGATGACCGTATCATTGTCGAGCCATAATAATATCTCGAATGCCCGTCATCAGATCAGGTATGCGCACCCGATAGTCCTGTCGTGTTCGAGCTCATTAACAAAGGATTTCAGACCTGACAGCGCCGGTGCGCACCCGTTCTGTGGCATGTATCCAGTGAACATTAGCGGGAAGCCCTTTCAACTCGGGGTTGGGTCATTCTTCATTCTTGATCCATCTGTAACCTTTTTCCTTACTTTTCTCCATCTCCCACTAATCATTGGTCTCACACAAACTTCCAGTTCTGACAATAGTTGAACTTGTTCGTCACCCATCTTTCACCAGAAACTCGGAGTCATACAACAAGGCGTGCCTTCTCAATCACGTCTCGTAAAATTCCACCATATATTGGACTTCGAAACACACTAACATACAATTCAAGGATGTCTGGAATACTTTTACGATCCCTCCAAACCTCACGGCAGGCATTGGGAGTAGTCTGGGTTGAACGCGGTAAGTATACACATGTCTCGCAAAAAAAATGAAACACGACTCACATGCGTTCGCAGCCTGGCACGTCGTCCCCGAAGCACACGCGGTGCAGCCGGTCCATCCCATACCTGGATACGAACACTGAGTGGCAGCTTCTTTCGAGAGAAGCTGGAACACGTACCACCACACTGGCCCCACTCTGCGCTGGCGCATCCCGTAGGGCCGGAAGGCCCTGTCGGCGTTGTCGTCGAAACAGGCGGTGTGGTTGAGCCTCCGGGAGTCGACGAGGTGGAAGTTGACGAGCCCGAGCTAGAGCCCGGGCCACCCGCCGGGACAGTGCACTGCGCCGTACCCAGTGCCGTGGCGCACAGCTCCGTCGCACCGCTGGCATACCGCTGCAGACGCGCTGCAACCTCGTACGCCGCCGGCTTCGGGTTTCCATTCGTGTCAAACAGCGTCCCCGCCCCGCTCGCCCCGAGCCAACTGAGGTCGTCTCGCGGGTCCCAGTTGATAAACTCGACGCAGTTGGACGCATAGAGGCACGCGTCGAGGTAGTCGCCCCAGATCGCGGCCTGGTAGCGCTCGTTCACGCTCGACGTCCCGCTGATCTTCATGTCCATCTCCGTGATCATCGCGTTCGCGCCGAGCGCCGCGAGCTTCGCGAACGTCGCGCTCAGATCCGCTTTCGCGGTGAACTGCCCCGGGGCGGCGGTGATGTGCGACTGGAAGCCGACGGCGAGGCGGGTGTACGGGACGGCGGCGTTGGTGTTGATGTCCGCCAGGAGCGCGAACATGCAGGCGGTCTTGGCGTCGTTGCCGCCCGTGTTGTAGTCGTTCACGGCCAGCCGGGCGCTCGCG